GAGTTCACTTGCGAAACTGATAGGTTCTCGGATCGAATCTCGTGAGTCGGGATCGTGGTTACGCACTGTTAAGGAGTCTGAAAATAAGATTAAACGGTCATCTAGTGCTTCCAGGTTTTCCATGGTGGTTTAGTTCCAATTGACTCATGGTCTCAACTATTAAAATTACCATAATATTACTTAGTTAAACTAATTGAAATACACTACATATTTATGATCAATACAACTAACAACAACCATGATATTCCTATTGAAGTACAATTAGTAACACTAATTATTAATTTATAACTAAACATAGAACTGTCCATCAAAAGCACAGTTTTCCACTTGTCAATAAATAGATTTTATAAACTGAATAAATATTTAAAACTAAAACAGAAATAACCTGACAACTTTTTGCTTTACTTATATATAATTTTCGTTGATTTATTTCATACTCCATTAATAAAGTTTTTTTATTATTTAGACAATCATTCATATTAGCTAATAGAAAACAAAAATACCCCAATTAAATAAAGTAACAGTTTGATGAACAACATTCAGTAATATATTGTTTAAATGATTTATTTCAATTGAAAAGAAATAATAACAGTACTGTTTCATTCAAGTCAATGTAAGCTATTGACAGACTTTAATATATATATAATCGTATAATTTCCTATATTTATGTCGTAACATTCACCATTTCTAACATTCAGTAATGAGTGACTTATTTTGTCATTTATAAAATATCACAGTAATTATGAACTTATAATTGTAGAGCCTGATAATGAAGTTATTCAAAAACAATCGTTCGCTTAAAAATATTCTTTTTTTTTCGAATTCCCTAAATAGTTATATGCTAGTTGTTTTTACTAAGCCAATAGAACGGCTTTTAACTAAGCTTTATACATAATGAATGATTATAACAATCGAAAATTTGTATGTTATGAATATTTTCATAATAGCATATCATAATTTAACGTTTAGACATGTGAACTTATATTGAAGAAAGATTTGTTTAAAACAATGAAATTTTTTTCTATTTTGTCTTCCATTATATTAGTGATTTTCTTTTTCAATAACACAAGTGAAAAACCAAGATTCTCACATACATCACAGAGGACATTAACTCAGTCACATTTGATAGAGAGACTTTTGATTAGGTGAAAAGTTTCACGTATCTGTGTAGCATCATAGATGAACAGGGAGGATGCGATGCAGACGTAAAATTGAGGATTGGAAAAGCAAGGACCACAGTCCTACAATTGAACAACATATGAAACGCAAAACAACTGTCAACCAATATCAAAGTCACAATGTTCAACACGAACGTGAAGACAGTTAGTTCTACTGTATGGAGCTGAAACTTGAACAACTTCTACAATCATCACCAACTAAGCATAAGTATTTATAAACAATTGTCTACGTAAGATACTCAACATTCGTTGGCCGGATACCATCAGAAACAGCCTACTGTGTGAGAGAACAAACCAGCTTTCATCTGAAGGGAAAATTAGGAAAAGACTATGAAAATGGACAGGACACACATTGAGTAAACCAGCAATCTGCAAACGATAACTTAGAATGCTGAAGGGACCAGGAAAAGAGGAAGGCGAAAGAATATATTAAGCCGGAAATTGAAAGCAGACATCAGTAGCATAAATAGCAACTGGAAAGAATTGGAAATGACTGTCCAGGTCAGAGTTGAATGGAGAATGCTAGTGAGAGGCCTACGCGCTTCGACGAGGGATAACAGGCGTAAGTAAGTAAATAAGTAGTGATTATTAATAAATCTGATGATTTATTGGTTTATTCCAATATGTACGTTTCTAGAAACATTTAATGCATTAAACGTTGTCCGAAATTAAAAGTTACAATGTCACGTAACTTCTTGACGCTAAAGAATTTTTCAACTTTCAGTAGTGATATACGTATATGGTACAGAAAAAATCATAACATGCAAGTGAATTTCCTCATATAGATGTGATGCCTTCTACAAAGTAACACAGTTATTACATAAAACACATTTTCTTTTGATAAAGGTAATAATAAAAAAGCTACTAAAATTTCACTTTTTTCTAAAATAATAAAATAAATATCGCTTCATCAATCTTTATTTTTTTAACAATTTACTTGTGCGAATAGTATAAAAGTGACAGGATAAGTTAAGAAAATTAGAATCATGATCGTAGATGTGCACGGCTGAGGAGCCCCACAATAGGATGAAACGAACATCCAGTGCTTCCAGGTTTTCCATGGTGGCTTAGCTTCAATTAACTTATGATCCCAACTATTGAAATTACTACAATATCCACAAAAACCCATATGATGATTTTTTTTCGTAATTTATGTACATGATTGCCATCGAATATATCTTTTTTATTTTTTCGGTGTATATTCCCGGTATGCTATAAATGATTGAGAAGTCAAAATTTATTTTTCAAATAGACAGTCTTATACATTATCCAAAATAAGTGACGTCACTATGACAATCTTAAGTAAATTCAGTATCAGAAATTTTAGTTGTTCATTAAGTAGGTTGAGTTTTGTTTTGCTTTTGTTTCCAAAAACTGACGTTCAATATTTTTACCTAAGCTAGAATAAGCAATATTTATTTATTTGAATGTGAGGATCGGTTAAAAAGAAATCACTAAGCTAATTGACCTAATATCGTTACTTTATAGTCATTCAAAACTAAGCTAGTTTATATCCAAATTCTATGAGTAATATACTGAAGACTAGTTCCTGTGGTAGTTTTTTTAGATAAAAAACATATTATTACTCAAGTGTTTCAGGTAGTTTATTTCATTAAAGTATTTCGATAGCAGTATCTATTAAGCTGAAGTTTTATTATAAAATACTAAGATTATTATTAACAGAGAATTACAAAAAAATGAAAAAAATTAATTGGAACGCCAACCATATAAAATTTAGGAAGAAATTTATACTACTCATTTGTAGACTTGGTTAATTATAAATCATATTTATTGTATGTTCAAAAAATTAATATTAGAGCTCAAGGGTACAAAGGTTCCAGTTTTTTTGTTGTTGTTGAATCATCCATGATCATCCGTGGAATTGTTAAAAAATGTGCGTATGTTAGATAATGTTGAAATAAACAAATTACTGTAGAAAACATTTTCATCATAGTTATTTCTTGATAAATTATTTGGTTTCATTACGTTTCATTGTGTGATTCACCTTAGTGTATTAAAGTTTTAAGCTAAAATTCAGTAAACGAAATCTGTCTAATAAATTAACTATTGTGTAATATATAATTTATTGAGTTTTCACATTGAAGATCTGCCTGTTTGTAATGATTACTTAGAAGATTTTCAAGGAGTCCATATTTATGTACGTTATTAATTAATAAACTATTCCTATTTATTCAGTAGTAATTTATTAACAAATGAGATATTAATTATTATTTACTTCTACCTGAAGTTTGTACTGATGATGTCGTTCAGAAGAATGATAAACTAAACCATTCAGCTCAGAGAACAAAATTCCATCAAAAAAACTTTTTAGTATACTTATATCTTTATTTGGTGGTATAAATACAGAAAATAATTGTGAAAAAAACAAGAGATGATTTTATCAGAAGGGGTTTCATGGAGATTTTAGAAATTTCACTAGTTGAAATCGTGAGTCAACTGAAATCAATTGAAGTCAATTGAACCCCTTCTGATAACAACCATCTGCTCACTAGTGACTGACTTCAACAGGCATTTCCTGAAGTTCCATTGAAAAGCCGTGACCAGTAGAGTTCAACCAAGTCTGTTGTAAGATATCAACTCACTGAAGACAATGGTGTACGGTCGCGCAATTAAATTGGTTAATTTCTGCGAGAGGGGGACTATAGGACCATATGGATTATGTTCATTGCATAAATCTTTATCAATGCATTCATTTCAAAAACCATTTTATAACTTATTTATATAAATTTCCATGATTGATATGATTCTTATTCATTTATCAGTTTTATCAGTTTAGTCTTCTTTAAGATTTTCATTCCAAAATGTTTTAAATTACTTGTAATTGTAAGCGAAATTTTAAGATAAATCAATTCTATTTTTATCTAGAATTAGTTTATAAAATTAAAACTAGATTAACATGAGGTTTTGGAATGTAAAAAACAAACAAAAAAACATTGGAAATGTCTAAAAGTTTCATTTTGAGAGTTTAATACATTTTAATATATTTTGTATAAACATGTTCATTTATATGATGATCTTATTTTATTAACAAAGCCGAAATATTGTCTATATATTGGCTGATCCGATAGTATGTTGGATCATGTTTGATTTTATATTTGAATCTAGTTTTTATTGCCTGTAAGAGTGTATCTGAATACTTGAAGTAACTGGGACATTTTGTTATATTGAAATTTAATATCAGAAGGGGTTTTCTGGATATTATAGTAATTTTAATAGTTGAAATCATGAATCAATGGAAGCTAGAAAACCATGGAAAACCTGGAAGCATTGGATGGCTGTTTTGTCCTAGTATGAGACTTCTCAGCAGTGCACATCCACGACTCCACCCCTCGAGACTCGAGCCCAAGACCTGTCAGTTTCGCGCGCGACACCTGTGTAGCTCTAGCTTTAATTGACTCGTGATCTCAACTATTAAAATTACATTGAAATTTATCTTTTTGTCTCACTATCAGGGAAAATATATTATGATCATGAATAACGTCTTGTAAAACTAATGATATTTAAGATTAACAATCACTAAATATAACTACTGTCATGATTTAAAACCTATAATGTTAATAATATTTTTTGATCAATTGGTAACGTCTTTAAAACTGATCATAAATAAAATGAATTCCAATATTATGAGGAACAACAATTTCATCAATATTGGAGACATGTTACTAATAAAAGTTAAAGCTAATGTGGAAATTTAGTTATAGCCTCCTAAAAACCATTTTCCACTATCCACTGTAGACTGAATGATTTATGACCTTGGGACAGTCTTTAAGGTTTTCAATTAATAAAGAGAAAAACTAATGTATGCAATGTTGTAGAGCAACACCTAAAATCAATAATACGTTAACTCCAGGTATTTATAGCTGCCACTTTTCTTACTCTAAAATCACTGTATCATACGACTGTAAAATAGATAGTAGACTTTTTAAACCCACTGAACAGCAAAGGCGTAAAACATTACGTAAAAAATAGTTCTAAATTTATTGGTAGTTTTATAAAATTGAAGGTCAATATTAAACGTGATGAATCATTTTAGTTTACAAATGTGCATTTGACGAAGATAGTTGACTTTATATGTAGTGAGCTGACAAGTCAATGAACAAAAATTGGTTTGTTCATTCCTTCGTAGAAGTGTTGATTCAATGATGTAAGATGAACATACGTATTCCGTTTAACAGAGAGCTTGTAAACAGCATGATGACGTTCCAATATAATTACCAAAAAATATTTTCTTGGCGTAGTTAGAAAATGGTCCTTTAATGCGTATGAAAACATGCGGTTGTACATTTTTATCGCTAAATAGACTGCATTTTTATAGTTGTGAAAAGGAACATTGAATACAACACGATCATGTCAATTTTCTCCAGCCAGTCAACAGTGGGTTTACGAAATGAATATGAACTGTCCGGTCCAGCAGTGTCTAGGCGTCTTTATCAGTTCAACTGGGCATGTAAAGTCAGTTTTGTTGTGCGCATAACCAAGCAAATATGTCATCCTATTTCTGAACATCACCCTTTTTGATTGATCTAAAGAAAACAGCAGGAAGTTCCGTTCTGGCTCATTTAGTAGACACTAATCATAATATGGATATGAATATGACTTCTCAAGTTATGTATAGAGTTTTGTCGAACTTGACCTATGTTTTCAGAATCCGTCTTTCATAGATAGTAGAAGTTATAGATATACACATCAATAAGCCAATATTTGTGTATGGAAGATGTTTATACGGCTTTTTAATTTATCGTGGTATTGTATTCATTAACTAATCGGTTTCACAAAAATTTGAATTTTGCTCAATTTAACTGTGTAATTTCATTTTAACGTAATTTGTCTATTTTGATAATATGATTACTTGATTTTGATTGAACACAGTATTAGTAAATATGGACAAGTCATGAGAATTAACTTGTAACTAAATTATTTGTGTAAACATTCAACCTAGTAATCATATTTCTGACAGAGATATCTTGAGAACAGTAAAACATCTGCAACAGTTCATGGATAAATGACAGACTTAATCTACAAGAGAGTTTGTATTATTGATCTTGACTGGCAGTGGTTGATAGATAAAGTACAAATGTCTCGCATAATTTATTAAGGTAAACTCAAACAATGAACACAGTAAAACTATCGATCAGAATTTTTTCATCTTACGAACTTTCTAGAAGTGAGACATCTACTATCAGTGATTATGAAAATATATCACTCTACATATTACTAAATATTTGAATATTTTAGTGTGGATTATTGTGTTCCAGCTTACTGAACGTATCACAAAACCTAAGCATGAACTTTTACCCACAGTGATATCTTTGAGATAAATTGTTTAGAGATTTTAAACTAGAACAGATCAGTTGTTTATGACTTGTCTTCAGTGGTCGTAAAGCTTCTATAATAGTCGTTGGTAAAAACCAACACTACAGATAAGGCGTCGTTATTGTTTTGAATGTAACTTCTGTAAATCGGTATTGAAACCTCATCAGTTGATCATGAACAGTAACTAAAATAAAAAGTTGTTCGTACGCAATCCTAGGTCATTTTACATCTAGATATTATTATGTGACGCTAAAAATTGCTTCAGATTGTTTAAACACTTTAGAGATATATTTTAATATATTGGCAAAAGTATGCAACGGGTGAACTGTAGGAACTGATAAGAAGTATGCATAAATAGAGAAAATAAGTTTTATTTTGCGACAAATTATTATTGTCTGCAAAGAAGAAATCTTAATGAGATACAGGAATTCGTGCTCTTTTCATTGGTTGAAATTTCAATAAAATATCTGAAATGTATGTTTTTTTTTATATTTCTTATTCATGAAAATAACCAATCCCGATACTTTATATTTCTAGAAGTGTTATATGATAAGACTTCCTATTGTTTTATAATAAAAAGTATCACATTTATACTCTGAGTTCTTAATTTCTAAAATACTCTGGAAGAAATTCAGCACCAGTGATCTTATTCAAGTAAGTGTTATTTATTAGATAATTTTGTATGTTAATGGTGAGATCATTCATAGAAATTGTGAGAAACCTTCAGGTTTAATAAAAGTGGTTCGTGTATTGAAAGCAATTACTTAACTTTGTCATTGTATCATTCTTCATGCTTTCTATCTCTTCTTATATGAATCAATAATATGTTTATGACATTAGTCGATTATTGGTATTTTAGTATCACATTAATTCTATCTTATCTGTTTTTTCTTCTGTCGAGAATAACTAGTTTCATTAATTTTGTTGCTTACATTAAGCTACCAATTTATTAAGAAAATTAATATTAAGAACGGATTTACTATACGTCTATCTACAAAATAAATTTATGGTAATCAGTTGAGTAATATACAATTGTGATGTCACATATAATTTGACAAAACTTTTGATTCATTGATAAAAGGGTGTTGTGATCAGAAAACTTGAAATCTACGATTTTGTTCAGTCTTCATACTTGACATTAATCAATGGATTAAGGTTTCAGTTTAAAATATCACCGCTTATGATTATGATGTTAATGAAATCATTTACTTCTAATGAATACATGGATACTAAGCAAATAAAATTGTTCAGGTTGTTATAAAAAACAATTTTTATTATTTATCTGATGTGTAGTTAATTACTGAGCATCAATAAATAAGGTAATTTTAAAGATACCAAACAGAAGTTTCTAATTGTATAAAACAGTATTTATGTATTACACTTGACCATCAGTAATCAGTGATTGGAAGAAGTGTTCAATAAACATACATAAGATTAAATATTCAAAATAATACTTTAACTGTAGCTATGAAATGCAATACTTTTAGTGAATAAATAAATAATTTTGAACTCTTCTATTTCTTGATATTTAGTGACCTTATATCTGACTCTGGTTAGATAGGACGAATGATCGTTATGGAATGATTGTTATTGAAATATATATGCTAGCTACCCTCGTATATTATAACCTATTTAATTTGCGTTGGTGAATAACAGAATTAAACAAGTCAAATACGAGAATAGACTTCTGAATACTTATATATCGCGCAATCATTGGTGGGAAACCGAAGCACAACAGAATGACGTGCACTGGAGTGGTCGAGTGACAGAACTTCATTGCGCGTCATGTCATTTTGCTTCGATTTCCGATCAACGATTGTACGAAATATACGTATCCAGAAGTCCATTCTCGTATCCGACTTGTTTAATTCCGTTATTCACCAACGCGATTTAAGTCCATAATAATATGCAAGGGTTGGCGATATGTATATTTCAATAACAATCATTTGTACGATCCAAATGGAGTCAGATTAAGAGCCACTAAAGATAAATATTTTATTCTTGATTTTGAAATAAAAATCTGAAGAGAAATAGAAAAGGCGTGACACAATTTAGGATTACATCAAGTCATTTTCGTTTACTAGCAATTTTTTTAGCTATGTAACCCGATAAATATAGATACGTACTATGTCTATGACACAGTCATTAAATGGATTTCCAAAATAAGTTGAGCTATTTATTTGATCGTCTGTCTTTGTACATGCTATGATATTGTAACTACTGTACTAACATGTACAATATTTTACGTACTAGTGACTGAGTAAATCTGTCACCTAAAATTATTATTTTTCTTGATGTTTGTTGGGACAATTTGATGAAAAATGTAGAAATATATGCTCTATTCGAATTCAAATGGTCTTAATAAAAAAATCTTATTAAAAAGAACGAGCTATGAAAAAATTGGATATCTGTTTAAGATACAAATAATGAACTATACACATATGTAATAAAACGAAGAGGTATTATAAATGTAAAGACGTAAAGAAGTTGGTGTGTGTTCAAGAACGGAGTCCAGTAAACGTTTTTGGCCCTATTTGTGACTCATCAGCTCGATGTAATACTGAAATATACTATTAGAAGCACACTGTAATAATCTAGTTTGATCACTAGTTCAAGTATTAGAGTGTTTTTGCTATGTTTATCATAATCTGGTTTTTTATTGAGTTTAATCTTTAACTATGGTAATGGTATGACCAACAATTTTAGGACATATAGTAAACATTGTCACTAATAGCCTGAATTATTTGTTTAGACGCATGTTTCTTCTATCATATATGTTCTTTATTCATGAGTGACATTTACTCAACATATTTAGTAATCTTTATCAATAAATATAATTTTATAGTATGTTTCGCAAGTTTCATGAAACTCTTCAAAAGTCGCATTTAAAGTATTATTTACTAAGAATTTGAGTGTTTTGTCACCATATATATACTAATTCCGCTTTTGTTAAAATTAGCTACTGTTATCTTCATCTTCTAAAACGATATTTCGTCAAAAGCAGCTTTATAAATCCTATTTATTCATTTAAATTAAAAATTGATTTACTAAATGCTCAAAGATTTTTATCGTAATGAAAACTATAAAAAAAGTAGAGAGCATTTGTTTTATATAAATCCTAACTAGATTCTACAGTAGTATACTTAAATAAGTTATTTAACTGATTAGCTAATTATGATTGATAGTTGAAGTCATGAATCAATTGAAGCTAGATTATTATGAAAACCTAGAAGCACTGGACGGCCGTTTCGTCCTATTGTGGGACCCCTCAATAGTGCGCATCTACGATTTCGCCTCGCGAAGTTCTAACCCAGGATCTATCAGTTTTGTGCGCGAACTCAAGCTCTAGATCACTTAGCCGGCCGGCATCCAACGATGTTGATGTCTAACTTCAACTAATCCACGAAATTGAGCGACACATTTATTATTGTCTTTAGTGAGTTACTATCTCACAATAGACTCGGTTGAACTCGACTGGTCACTGCTTCTCACTAGAACTCCAGGAAATACTTCTTGAAGTCAGTCACTAGTGAGCATATTATCAGAAGGGGTTTTGTGGAGATTTGAGTAATTTTATAGTTGAATTCATGAATCAATTGATTTAATGATGAATAATAATCTATAATTATGAGTTTATAAAATGCATTAAAGAAAGTTCCCTGATGTTAGAATGACTTATGGATAACGATTACTGGAATAAAGTTGTATATAATATAACTGATACTAGGGAAATATTTGAAATATTTATGGTGGAGTTGAAGTGAAAAATGAAAATTAGACATATAGAAAATCTATGAAATAAATCATATAGCCAAATGGTTAGTATGAATTTGAATAGAAGAAAAGTTGATTAATGAAAAGGAATCAGCTGGCTATATGGTCAAAAATACAAAATAGATTCTGTAAATTTTATGAATAAAATTTATGATTAGAAAGTGAAATATATTAATGGTAGTAAGTGGAAAATATGTATGCCATAAATAGTCATAGGTGAAAGTTGATTAAATCTGGAACTAGACATTGTATTCACAAGTATACAATTAACTTGATATCATAATGTAAACTGTATAAAATATAGATTATAGTTTGATGGCATCAAACATGTCATAAATCTGTTTTATAAAATTTCTCATTGAATCATGGCTTCAAAGTAGGTTTTTTACTTACAAGTATTAAAATATATTTCGTTATTCATCTCAATCGTTTAACAAACAATCCGATATTAAAATAAGGTTAGTGATGATGGTACAGAATCCACATTGTTTATGTATCGTTTTCTGCTGTCAACTAATTATGTTTAGAGAATCTTACACATTGAAAACCAGTTGCTTTGTTATATTATTGTTTATCAGTAATATAGGTTTATAGTTTAGCGATAAAGTTTTCTCTAACAGCGATAATTACTTTGTGCATTATAACTTTCATGTAGATATTTATAAGTTTTCTATTACACAAACAGATAACTTTACAGAAGTTCTTAGATATGTGACTGTCATTTTGTCACATTTTTGTAAATGGATTGATTTTATTTTACGTTAATATCAGTCACTGTATGTGGATAATTCAGAACCTATTAGATATTGTATTCAACGTTTACTTGCAAATTACAATAGGAAAGTCAATAAGAAGCATTTATTATTATTGAAAGTTGGTTAAAAACTTATTCGATCAAAATAGCCATAGTAATATATAAATAAAAAAGTATTAATTGATATATTCTTCAAACTGTACTTACTTCATATTATGAATATTTTCTTTAGTCATCTAAATTCATACTCTCGCTTATTGTATGACCTTATTTCTACTTAAATTTTGTTATGTATTATGTACTTCAATCATAATTGTTTCCTTCTTATGAACGTAATTGTTTAAAGTTCATAGTCTTTATTTTCGGCCATAAATTCTTGATTTAATCATTATAAAGTAATTTTTATTTACTATCTTTCTTTTTTATCTCTAACTTTTTTATTCTTATAAGTACTATTCAGTAGTTTGTAGATTTGTTCTTGTTTTGTATGTTGTTTAGTTTATGAGTAAATATGTATATTTGTTTAGAGAGAGATATTTTCAACATTTCTATGCTATTCGGCAGAACTAGAAAATTGCGTATATATCCTATTTAAGTGAATTACATCTATTGAAGATCGGTCCTTTGACAAGAAATGTGATTATAATCAGTATATTTGTGAAAGTTCAAACGTTTTCCAACAGTCATATACTAAATCTTGGGTTGATCTTTGTAACATTTAAAACAAAATAATTCGTCTATGGATGAAAAGTAGATAAAATATTGGTCTTGAAATGAAAAGCTTATAGTTTTACTAAAATTTGCTTATTCATGATTATGTAATGATGTTAACAATATTCGATGTATTTCACACGATATCTAATGAACATTTCCACAGTATGAAATCATAATAAATAATTTTCATTAAACTGCATCTAAATGTTGGTTCCATTTTTTAAAAATAACTGCTGTCCAAGTGGAAACATTTCCATAGATTCTTATACAAACTATAAATCCTTTTTCTTTAGTTATTCATAGTTATAATTATTTGCAAAGATTTGCAAAATGTACGTTCATACTTTTAAAAGCAATTGATCCATATAAAAAAGTAGGCATCGTTAAGGAACTGAACATTTTCTTGATCCGT